CCATGGTAAAATCGCTTATGGTCGCCGTTTTCTGACGTCCTCTGACCAGCTCGCTTGTTGCATTGCCTAAAAAAGGCAGTTTTGTGAACACATCTTTTTTCTTTCTTGTCTTGACCCCAGAACGGCCATCGAGTGCTGGTGGAACTCTCAGGGAGATGCAAAACTCGGCCACGTTCTAACCCATGTTCACGGCTCTTAGAAACTGCGCGCTTACGTCTGTTTGTGGCACCTTGTGAAACATGACCTCAGGATGACAAACGTGATGACTCACGTGCTCTCATGGTCATAATTATTTCTGTCAATAGATCTGGGCATGGTTACTCTGTTTACGATGTACATGGTACCTTATTGCTGAAATTTCGATCAGGTTCGATCGCTGGCGTGAGCATTTCGAGCACCTCCTCATATTTGAGGTGCAACCCATTGCACTTTCCCTCTTCTGCGCAGGGAAGATTCATCCGTCTGCAGCATATGCAGTGTCCGGCGACCTCCCTTCCAAAGACACGTTTTAGATGCAATACTGATGCTGTGCAACAACAAGGCATCCAGCCAGGACAATATTTCTGCCTGGCCTCATGAGTTGATCAAGCAAACTTTGAGAAACGAAGATCCGAATGACTGGATTTCGAGTAAATGTAAAGTCCTGTGAGTCCTTAAAACAACTTTCATGACGAAATTTAACTTGATAGTTTGGCATATATCTGGACAGGTTGTTTTGATGAACTGAGTGAATATAATAATAAGAAGGGATGTGATTTGGATAACTGCCCTCTTAATTAAATTTATTGGGGGAAATAGGCACCCATTTTCGCTAAATCATGAGTAAGTTTACGTTAAAGTAATTCCCTATGCTTTAGGGAAAGACAGAACTAAACTTTCTTCTAATATACATTGTGCTGTGGAAGAATTCCTTAATAAGTAAAAAAAGGTGGAATAATAATCCCTTCCAGAACTGAAAAAAATTGTGGGAAGTTGATCAAATGGAACTGAAGCAAAGTTTAAGGAATCGCATTTATTTTCAGAAACAAGCAGCGATTCAAGTTGTAAAAATTATAGTTAGCTATTCTGTGAAGTTTTTTGTTGCAAAAAATGCAGCAGCAAAAGTTGTTTGGTAGAACATTTTCTTTTACCGCACAGCTGGCCTTGCGCGTAAGCAAAGTTTCCAAATGTTACCGCGAAGACAACCTATGGAAGGCCTTATTGAATGTACGTCATGTAGAAATATAGTTTTTTGTAAACAATACGTTCAAATCAAGCGTTATTTAGAAGCAGAACAGACAGAAGAATAATTAGTATTTCAAAATATGGTCATATATGTGGCCTGTTGTTTTGCATTC